TATACGTCATTAATATATTCACTTAAGAGCTTAACTTTTTGGATTAGTTTAATCTTAAAAAAAAAGTATAAGACTTTAGTTAAATATTTAAAACATAGTCCGAATTTTCATATAAAATTATCTAAAAAATGCTTTAATATTTTTAAAGGAAAAATGATAATTAATGAGTTATGGAAATGAAGATCGATTAAGATTTAATTAAGATTATTTATTTAGCTTATAAAATTAAAATAATAAAGCTTTATAGATTTTAAGCAGTAAAAAATTTTATCTAGCAAAGTAATATAATAATTTCACCTTATAAGTAATTCATTACATTATCTTAAGAGATTAAATTTTATATTAAAATATTGACCTATTTAGGTAATCATACTAAAGAAGTACAAACAGGTTTAACTATAGGTGTAGCTTTATTTATTATAAGTGAAATTTTTGCTTTTCTATCTATATTTTGGGCTTTCTTTCATTCTAGTTTAGCACCTACTATTGAAATAGGTAATAGTTGGCCTCCTTTAGGGATAGAAGCTTTAGATCCTTTTGCTATTCCTTTATTAAATACAATTTTGTTACTATCTTCTGGTGCATTTATAACATATGGACATCATGCTTTAATACAAGGAGATAGATCAGGTGCAATTTTAGGTACATTTTTAACTATAGTATTTGCAATATTATTTACAGGATTACAATATTATGAGTATTGTGAAGCAGGATTTACTATCGCAGATAGTGTATATGGAAGTGTATTCTTTTGTTCTACAGGTCATTAGGCCCCTTTATAATTTAAAGAGAATTCTACTATATGCGTAAACTCTCCAAAGAGATAATTATAAAAAATAATACTTAAAAAATTTATAATGGAAAAATACGCAGGGTTAAAAATAAATCCTCAGAGAATTTACGTAGAATAACTGTTTCCTAAATACTTATTAAAAATCTATAATCACACTAGATAATTAATTATCATGTGTACCTATCGTTTAACCTAAACTCAATTTTAAAAATTTTTCTTAATGTTCATTTTATTATAATTATTGATTATTTTAGGTTAGTTCTTCTTCTTCTTCTCCTAAATAAATAATTTGAATTAATAATATTGGTAGCTTAAATGGTTTGTAAATAAAGTAAAGTATAAAATAAGTTGAGAGATCAGTTAAAGATAAATTCCGTATCCTTTAAATAATAATTAGCTCAAATTCTAATTTGCATATAGGTATTTTTCATATTAAATTCTTGCCTCAAGTAGCCCTTAAATATTTAAGATAAAAAAATTAATTCTGGCTTTAGACCACACATTTAATTTATTTTATTATTTAAAGGATAAAGCTGCTAACAGGTTTGGAATCTAAGAATAGTTCAAAATTATCAAAAGAGTCTTTAAAAAGGACTGGTTTAAGCTCTATAAATTTAACTAAAAGCTCTTCTTTAGGATTAATAGGAAAAAGGGGGAAATCTCTTACTCTTAATCCTTAATTTATTGAATGGTTAACAGGCTTTACTGACGGAGAGGGTAACTTTAATATTTTTTTAAGAGGATTTCAAGAAACAAATTATCGCTCAGTACAATTAATTTATTAAATAAATCTACATGTAGATGATTGTAAAGTACTAGAATATATTAAAAATCAAATTCATTGTGGTATTATTTTTGAAAGCGGAGATCGTGTTAATTTTTTTGTAAATGATATTTACTCTATTAAAAATATAATACTTCCAATCTTTGAACATTTTGAGTTAAGATCTTCTAAAATTCATAGTTTTAATTTTTTTAAACAAGCAACAGAAATTATACATTCTAAGAAACATCTAACTCCTGAAGGTAAGTTAGAGCTTATAAAAATTAGACTAGCTTTAATTGAATATTTTAAGAATCCTCAACTTTCTAATCCTTCGAGTATTACTTTATACTGGCTATTAGGATTCATTGAGGGTGAGGCTTCATTCTCTACCTCTAATTTAAACCCTAGATTAAAGTTTGAAAATAGTTTTTATGAAGATAATTTATTTAAACTAATCAAAGATAGTTTTGGTTTAAACAGTCAACGTATTCAATACCCTAGGTTAAGACAAAGAGGTTTTAATGAAAAAGAACTTATAGTCTTAAATTATAGCAAAATAGAATTTTTATACTTAGATGTTATTCCTGCATTATCTCAATTAACTTGGCAAACTAAAAAAGAATTGGATTTTAAAGACTGGTCTATAATTGTTAAATTAAATTTTTACGGTTATCATTTAATTCCTGAAGGTTCTAATCTTATTCTTTCATTAAAATCACTATGAATAATTTTAGACTAACTAATAATAAATCATACAATGGGGATTTTTTTATAAGTAAAGAAGAAATTGAATCTGTATTTAACTTAAAGGCCACTTATGCGGCTTATGGTGCTCTTAGGGTTAAAGCTGGTACTTATAATTTAATATCTAGACCTTTGATAATTGTGACAAAAGAATCCCACGAAGAGATCTTACCTTCCCCTTCTCCTTATCCTGGCCCAATAAATGCAGAGGGAGGGGAAGGTATGCCTTATTGTAAAGTTTATAATAGTTTTACTTTATTATCTAAAGAACTTTCTTTAAATAAGACTTAAATTATTAAATCAATAATCTCTGGACAGAGTCTAAAGGGTTATAAATTTGAACTAGATTTTTATAATTAATTATTATTAGAAGGATGATGCTACATGGGCTTCACGTTATAGTAGGAACTTTATTTATTTTAGTAGGATTTATCAGAATGATTAATTATCATTTAACAGACTCACATCATCAAGGATTTGAAGCTGCAATACTATACTGGCAAACAAAATAATCTTTTTATAATAACTGATAGTTATTGTATTTAAGGAAGAATTGCCCCTTAACTGTGTAAACAGTTAAATCGCATTTCACTATGTGCTGAATAGTCTATGATTTTCTTGATAACATAAAATCTTTATTCTAACATCGAAATCTAATCTAATTTTTAGTCCAGCTTACGATTCTTATTAATTAGTTCTAGATTTAAAAATGGCTAATATTGTTTTTAAAAAATATTCAAGTGAACCTAAATCATGATAATACTTTTCGAATAAGTAGCTTATAATTTTACAATGTAAAATAATCAAGAAAGATAATCAGCAGGAAGGTATATACCTTCTCCAGAGACTTTACGTGATTAACTTGGAGTAGCTCTTAGTTCTAAATACTTCCAAAGTGACAGTATTTAAGTTAAAGACAAAGTCCTTATCTCTAAGAATTATTTATTTTAATCTTCTATTTTTATTACAATGTCAGAAGCGGATAATATACTAAGGGGAGATTATTATATGTCAATCTTTATAGCTCCAATTTGCCTTAATTTAAATTTACCTAAAAATTCTAAATCTAAAGAGTTATTAGATACGGAGCCTCAAGTTCAAACTTCAGAGAATGATTTAAAAAAAGAAACTTTAGATCAAAGTACAACTATTATCTCGCCTACTGATTTAAATAAAAAATTAGGTCCAGATGGAAAAACGCCTCTGTTTAACTATGTTCAAGAAGGACTAGTTGGGCTGTTATTAGGCGATGGTAGTTTGATTAAAAAATATCAGGGTGGAGGTACTTATTTTAAATATGCTCAAAGTGTTATACATTATGATTACCTTTTATCCGTATTTAATTTATTTAAAGATTTAGGAGTAGTCTTAATGGAAAGTCCAAGGTTGGGGAAAAGTACTGTTAAAGGTAAAACTTATCATTATTATACCTTTATTACTCAATCTTTAAAAACCTGGAACGAATTATATGAGAGATGGTACAATAAGTCTAAAATAAAAACTATCCCTGATAATATTTTTTTCTACTTTAACTCCAATCGGTTTAGCGATAATGGATGATGAGGGTTGGACTAAAAATGGAATCCATCTTAACACTAATTTTTTTTTTCTAAGTTTGAGGTAGAGATCTTAATTGATGTCTTAAATAGAAAGTATGGATTAAAATGTTCTATTCATTCACGAAATAGAATATATATTTGGACTTCTTCAGTACCAACTTTAATTGACTTAGTAAAACCTCATATTCATCCTTCAATGATAGGAAAGATAACTCCTTCTAATAATAAGTCGAATAATAAATAATTTTTATAAGCTCTAAAATTATTAGGTCACTTTATTAGTTTTAATAAGTATTAATTTTCTAACTTTTGCCCAATAACTTAGAGATGAATTGAGATAGATTTCGTCGATGTAGTTTGGCTATTTTTATTTATAGCAGTCTACTACTGGAGTGGAAATTAAAAAATTCAAGTTTTTATTTAATAATTTGAATTTTTTTAATATTATTTCAAAATGTCTCATTAATATTTTACTATGTAATAAAATTATGTAAAATATGAACCTTAAATTTATTAAATATACTTTAATAATTTTTATTAATATTTATAAATTTAAAAGAATAGAATTTATTAAATATTAAGGTGAGATAGCTTATAAAATTTGTAATAGTATTATGTTTTAATTTTTATAGTGATAATTAAAAATTATAGAAAAGATATTTTTGTTTTTTTAATTTTATAGATTAAGTAAGATATGAAAAGAAGTGTATACAGATAACTATAATTTATATAATTATTTAAATACCATAATACTTATGCGGTAAGCACTTCTTAAAATATTTATATGCCTCAATTATTACCTTTTTTTTTCATTAATCAGCTTTCTGTTTCCTTTATTAGCCTTTTCTTTATAATTTATATCTTAAGTAAGTACATCTTACCTGTATTTACATTTCAACAAGTAGTTAGAATGTACATAATTAAATTAGCTTCTTAATTATAAATGTTTTTATATTAATTTATCTCTTAAAATTAAAATTTTAGTTTAACCCCTTTATTTAGATTAATTTAAAATAAAGAGTGTTGTGTAATTGGTAGCATAGTGATCTCCAAAATCATTGGTAGGTGTTCAAATCACCTCACTCTTGTAAATTATAAAGAAAAAAAGACTAAAAAATTTTATTTCCGCACAGCTATAGGGCTCTTAGCTTAATAGGTAGAGTATCTAATTGTCAATTAGAGAGGTCCCAGTTCGAATCTGGAAGAGCTCGAGAATATAAAAATTTATATTCTATAAGAATCTTAAAAAGAAATAGTGAAAAGTAAATAGTTTAAGTAATTAGGTTAAATTAGGATTCTTATATTTACTAATTATTGATTTATTATATAAAAAATTATAAAAGTATTTTCTTACAATTATTATGACTAATTTTATAATTAATTTAAATAAAGTTTTTTTAAAATTAATAATATTAATTTTTATTATTTTTACTTTATTCTAATAATTTTAGAAATTAAAAATTTTTAACATACATACTAGTTTTAACAATACAGAATTAAAATCAGGTAAGTTAGATAGTAAGTTAGTTAACAGATTACGTGCAATAAAGGAGGTTTTTGTATATATAGTAATGTTATCTTTTATATTAACTTTTCTGAAGGAATAGATTGTGATCACTAGGTGCTCTTTTTTATTAGGATTGGTGGTTAAGTTTTAAATCTAAATGTTTATTTTATATTTGGTGTTTTATTTAGTTATTGTTTATTCTATTAATTTAACTTATTTTAATTTTATTTCTAATTTATTTTTAATAAATTTAGCTTTCTATAATCCAGGTATTTTGTTAGATTGGATCAGGATTAGAGTTTTTTAAATTCTTCCTTCTGTTATCATGGTTATTGTTGGTGTAATTGATTATATGGGTATTTATTTGATTAGATTAAATCCTTGATTTAGAGAGAGGTAAAGTAATGGATACACGTAGTACTCCAGTAAAAACTGCCTTCCATAATTAAAAATAATTGTGCAGGTACAGTAAAAGGCTGAGATCCTCTGTCAATATAAAATTTGTATCCTCATTTTATTAAACTTAAATAATATAATCTGTTTATTTCTTTTTAAAATTACAAATAAATTTATTTTCAAAACTTTAATTTTATTAAATAGCAAGTTTTTATCTTTCCCCCCGGGGGGGCGTGGGTTAAATCTGTTCTTTTTTAATATTTTTGTTTTTTTAATTTTATTTTCATCTTTTTATAGGTATATTATAATAGATGATGGATGTATTATATTTATATCAATTTTATTATCTTTTATTTTTTCTAGTTTTATTTTAAATATTTTTTTATTATTTTTTAAAATTTTTAAGTATTTATATTGTTAATTTTTCCACTCAAATTTATTTATAGAAAGAATTCCCCCAGGAGGAGTTATAACTAATTTTATGAATTTATCTTTATTTTTATTTTTAATCGGAATATTAGGATTTATTTTAAATAGAAAAAATTTATTATTATTGATAATATCTATAGAGATTATGCTTTTAGCTGTCACCTTATTAATAATAATCAGTAGTTTTAATTTTGATGATAATATAGGGCAAACTTTTGCTATATATATTATTTCTATTGCAGGTGCTGAATCTGTAATTGGTTTAAGTATTCTGGTAGCTTACTATAGATTGATATTACTTTTAATTAAAAATTTAAAAAAGAAATTTATTTTGTACTTGAGCTTATTATCGGACAAATTTAATTTTAAATTCTATACAGAAGTATCTAATTGCTTAGAAAATAGACAAAGTATAATGTTAAATAGGGCGTATTATAATAAAGGAATTATATATAGGATTAGTGCTAATGGAAGTCTTTTACCGCCTTTATTCACTATATCCTTTACACAATATTTTTATAATTTTAAAAATTTTTCTTCTTGGTCTGGTATGTCTAAAATAGATAGAGAGTCTAAATATATATACTCTGTCTCTAGAACAATACAGGTTTCTAATAATCAATTGTATAAAATTTTACCTCCATTGTCTAATAATAATATCAACGATCTAGTAGTTTATGGGGAGTGTCAAGGTTCTGTATTAGGATATAGATTATCTCAAACATCATTAAATGGAATATTTTTAACTCAAGAACAAAAGAAATCATAATAGGGATTTTACTAGGAGATGCTTATATTCAAAAGAAAAGTGTAAAGGGTAATGCTATGATTCAATTTAATCAAGGGTATATCCATTTAAAATACATTTTACATCTAGCCTTAAAATTCTCTCCTCTTTTAACACATTTTCCTCTTTTAATATTGGTTAGAGATGGCTCCTTTAGTTTAAAATTATCTACTCGATGTTTATTATGTCTAAATCCTATATATGACTTATTCATTGTAAATAAAAAGAAAATTATTTCACCTGAATTATATAATTGGTTGAGTCCTCGCTCATTAGCTTTTTGGGCTATGGATGATGGAAGTTTATCTGAAAGCGGTTTTTATTTTAATACCATGTCTTACACTTTAGAAGAAAATAAACTTTTACAAAAAATATTGAGTAATAAATTTAATTTGGACAGTAACATACATAGACATAAGAATAAATATAAATAAATAAATAAATAAATAAATAAATAAATTATATATAATAGCTAATTCAATGGCTATCTTTATATTTCTTGTTTATCCTTATTTCCTAGATTTTTTTTATTATAAGTTAGCCCATAACATTATTAAACCTAGTTCTATTAAATTAATGAGTCCGCCTAAAAAAAGTTCTAAAATACCAAAATAGATAATAAAAAATTTTAATTAAAAGATCTTAGTCCTTAATTAAAACATTAAGCATATTACTAAAAGCAGAAACACTTAATAATAATATAACTACTATTATCTTACAAGAATGTTTATAGTAAAAAAGTTATATTAATGATAAGCTGTGGATATAGTTAAATAAATTATTTTAAATAAAGTTTTGTTTTTTATTTAATCCTAGATAGGGTTTTCCTATTTAAAATTAATTCTACTTCTATTTAAGTAATCTGCTGATACCACTTTAAAAAGGCTTAGTCAATAAATTTTTATCTTATCTAAAATTAAAAATTGAATTTAGTTGGGTGAATCTTTGGCTATTAGTATTAGAAGTATTCCTATTAGTCTAATTCTAAATTAGTTTACTATGTCAAGGAAGCCTTCTCCTACAAGCTTAATTGTATCTCAGAGACTACACGTAATATTCTTTATAGAATTTTAATACTATAAATTAATGAAATAGTCCGGTTTTATAAGCTATATAATAAAATCTAAATAAAATATTTAATATTATTCAATAACACTTTACGCAAATTAAGTACCATTTACTTTTTTTAATATTATCTCCCTAAAGGTATTTTGATATTTAGTTTAATTAAATTTTAATATAAATATTAATTGATTATAATTCTGTTGAGTTTAATCAAATATCATTCTATATTATCATAAATTATAGTTTATAAAATATGTAAGAGGAACTATCTCTCTTAGAACATAAATGTATTTAACAATTTTGATCTTGCCTCTATTAGGTTCTATTATTTCCGGTTTTATGGGTAGAAAAGTTGGACTTACCGGATCACATGTCATAACTATAACATGTTTAATTTTATCATCTATATTAGCTAGCTTAGCTTTTTATGAGGTAGGAATATGTGGTAGTCCTGTCTCAATTCAATTAATAAGTTGGATTGATTCTGAAAATTTATCTATCTCCTGGGAATTTTTATTTGATTCTTTAACAGTTTCTATGTTTATACCAGTATTATATATCTCAACATTAATTCACTTATTTTCAGTTAACTATATGAATGAAGATCCTCACAATCAAAGGTTTTTCTCTTATTTATCTTTATTCACTTTCTTTATGTTAATCTTAGTATCTGGTGCTAATTATTTTGTACTTTTCGTAGGTCAACCTGGCCTAATGCTCTCCTAATAACTCTTATTTATTATAAATATGATTTTATAAATAGGAAATAGCATAAACTACTATTTGCTGGAAATTAAATTATGAGTATACTACTTTAAAAAAATTTTATTGACTTTTATTCTTAATGGTAGAACACATGTATGACTTAAGTGATATTAAATTTTCTTAAGCTATTTAGATGGTATTATTTTTTAGAAGATAATTTTAAAATATAAAATATAAAGTAAAAAAGTGATACTATCTTATAACCAGCAAGAAATAAATAATATTTTATCATCTTTAAAACTTTTATTAATAATAATATCTAAAAGTATAACTTAAAGACGTAAATAAATAATATCTCCAGAGATTATACGTAGTAAGAATTTATTAAAATTCTAAGATTTAATCCATTTATCTTATAATTTATATTTTAATTTAATCTTTTATAAAGTTAGATAAACGCAATTAGACAAAGGATGTTTTTTTAGCTCTGGCATTTATAATAAAATTAAAAAATACTAGCCATTATTCTAATTCTAATTCGAATTTGAATTATGAATCTAATTCTCCTAGTCCAAAAGAAAATGAAGTTTTAAAAGAAAAACATTCTAATCTAAATTCAAAAGAATCCTATTTAAAAAGTTACCCTAGTAATAGAAAAAGAACTAATAATCATAGGACATTATAATTAAATGACAATATTAGATAAGCTTTAATAGGATTGACTTTAGGTTACTTTATAAAAAGCTACTAATAATAGTAATATTAGATTAAGGTTTGATCAAGATATAATTCATTCTGATTATCTTTACTTTTTATATAAATTATTTAAAGATTATACATTAAGTCCTCCTAAATCTACCAATAGAAAACCAGATAAGCGTACAAGTAAAATATATAATAGTCTTATATTTAAAACTAGAATGCTACCTTGTTTTAACTTCTTATGGGATTTATTTTATCCAGATAGAAAAAAATAAAATAATTCCTTCTAATTTAAAAGATCTTTTAACTGAAGTAGGATTAGCTTTTTGGATAATGGATGATGGTGGAGTAGGAAGTGGGGGCACTATAAATTTAAATACTGACAATTATAATGAAAATCAAGTAAAACTATTAATGGATGCCTTAACACAAAATTTTAATTTAAAATGTAGAAAATCTTTGAAAAGATCGAATCAGTGGATAATTGTAATTCCTAAATCACTAGTAACTAAAGTAGCAAATCTAACTTTTAAACATATGCACCCTTCTATGTTCTAAAAAATAGGTAGATAGTGTATTTATTTTTTTTTGATAATATTTTTAATTTTTAATTTGTTAAA